GCAGAGGTAAAGGTTGCCGTCAATGAGGATTTCTGAGCAACACAGAGAAAGAGGACTGTTCCTCCCTCTTCCCTGACCCCACCCTCTTGATTTTCAGGGATGCCTGAGAGATTCTGGTGCCGTCTCCAGCGGCTTCAGCCTCCACACACAGAAGGGATCTCCCTCACCTCCGTGGGCGGCCATGAACGGCCCCTCTTGTGCTGCCCGGTCTGGTCTTCTCTGTGTTCATTGTCTCCACCGCACACTGGGACCTTTATCTCTGCCAAGCCCGAGACACCGTCCTTGACGCACCACTTCTGTGAAAGCAGAGGCCCCTCCTCACTGTGATGACTGTTACGCTTTATGGCTCTTAATGTCATTCAGGGAGTGCTTGGACATCTTTCTTTCTTTTTTTAAATGGGCTTTCTGTCGGCCCTTGTTCTGCAGCCTCACTTTTATGGATGCACCTGAGCTGAGGGTAAAGGCGAGGAGTGCGATCTGACCGTGATGTAAAGATCAGTTTGGATCTTGCCAGGAAGGATTGCTTCACTGGGCGTGATCTTTTAGAGCGGCCCTTCTGTCCAAATGGGATCTGGCCCCCAAGATGCTCCGGAAAAAGAGCAGTCGTAGCTCTGGACCAGAAAAGTCCGGACTGGGCCAGAAGCGGGGTGGTGTCGTTTCGTGATCGAGTGTACGTCGTTTGGTTGCCGGAAAGGAGAGCGAACCAGACCGGGTTTTTTTTTAGTTTGGTTGTGGGCCCAGCCTTGGAGGGCAGAAGACAGGAAAAGTTGGATTTCCAGCCCCATCTCATTCCCCGCCCCATACAAAGAAGCTTCTGAGGTCTTTTAAGATCTCTCCATGTGTCTGCTGTGGCCTGCAGCTTTTATTCATTTTTAGTATTGCTAGCATGTAGGAGCTGCCTTGATTTTCTACCTGTCCTTCAGTCGGCTTAAGACAGTGTACCGGTGTCAGCTCCTACCTAATTTCTCCTGACAACAACCTTGTAAACTTGGTCAGTTGGAGGGGTGGAGGAAGAGTGGAAGAGACAGAAAAAAAGACTCGCTCCCCCCACACAAGGTCACCCCATGATTTTCAACTGATAACCAGATTTCCCAAACCTCTGATCTTTATTGTTGGCCACTACACCACACTGCCCCCCCGTTCCTTGTGTATGGAGGAAGGGGTTGCTCTGGCTTTGCCTTCTCTTGTTTCCTGCCGGGTTGTTTGATTTCTGGCACATCCTTGACTCCTATCTGGAAGCTCGAGAAGCTGTGAGCCAGCGATTGGGGTGTGCGGTGTCTGAGCTCAGATAAGCCACAGCTGTTGCATCGGTGGGGCTGATAATGCAGGAGACCTCGTTGGCATAGGGCATCCGCAGCCAACAGTGTCTTGGGGGGGGCAAGAATGGCACCGTTTTGGGGGGCTTGACCTTGAGTCTCTCGTGGAAGAAGGTGGCTGCAGCGATTCCTGCTTTCCATCCATCCTTCAGGTATTCTCTTTGGGGGGGTTCCAATGCAAACCCACCAAATCCTACCCTCCCTAGGAGGTTTGTGCAAGGGCTGCATCCGGGTTTCCTTCACAGAGCTTGGAAATCTCCTTTTTTTGGGACTACAACTCCCAGAATTCCTGAGCCAGCTGGGAGGATTTGGGGATTGGCTCACATTTCCAGGCTATGATCCTCGAATGGGGGCCAGGGGTTCACTGGTTGCCGCTGACAAGGACATCAGACACAAAATCGTAAGCCCCCCTCCCAATGCTTTCCTGATTGTAACCTCCATGGAGGAGGGGGGCCGTTGGCACAGTGATTTGCTTTCCCTGATGGGGCTGTTGCGGTGTGCATCACATGTGTGTCGCTGCCTGTGGCACATGGGTGTTGATGTACGCTTGAGTGTGGTTCCTGCTGATGGTGAATGGATGTTGGATCGTTTTTTTTGCAAGGGGTGGATTGTGAGACCTACGTCTTCTAGAACTGGTATGTTCTTCAAA